AGTTTCACTAAAGCTTTGTGTCACTGGCAATCATTGACATCTAGCAAGATGTTCAATGGGATACTTGATAAAATTCAGTCTGGTCATTCAAGAACTCACAAATGCAAGCTCACAAAACATTGATGAGTTATGCAATTGCAAAGTGCTCTAATGCAACATTAACTACATGCAATCAACAATTTGGTACAGTATCCAAAGAGACATTACATTAAACATTAGGATCTCAAGAAAAAAGCAGCTTTAAGTTTTCTGGTGCAAATTACTACACTTCGTCTTCTGATTTGGTGCCCCAAAGAAAGACAGAAAGAAAACAAAAAAAAGGCAGTGCTTGATTCTGGTGGATATGGCAAGTGAATGCTGGGGAAACAGCAAAAATTCAGTAATGGATTTTATCTCAAAAATCTATTAACTAGCCAAAATCAGAGGGCACAGACATCTGTATAAACTGCATCCAATCAAAGGTCAACTTCGGAAAACGTGTTTTTCAATTTAAATAGTAAGTCTAAGAAGTTCTCTCACACTCTCCCTTCTATATTCGTAAGAAGTAAAAGAGGCATTTTTGTAAGTAAACATCAAATCCTGGGGGTAAGATAAACCACTTGTGCCATCCCCTTGTAGTCTTTCGAAAACATCTACTTGCAGTGAAGAACTCCACATTTATCAGATAAGAAGCTTCCTTCGTGCATACTCTTCCATCCAGCTTATTATTTGCTGCCTGAGAAAAGCCCCTTCTGTTTTTCAGCATAAATCCTGCTTCCCAAATAATTAAGACAAATGAGGAGGTAGAAATACAGCGCTAAATTGCTTTCACAGCATCAGATTAATATTGTATACAGCACAAGTTTGTTAGTGTAAGTTTTAAATGCGATCTACACATTCTTCCCTGTTATGGTAGCAACCCTTAAAAGTGTGGGCCAGGAAACCATTTTCACACTCGTCTTTACTGGTCAAACCCTTTTCATTAAACACTACTTGCCTGCCCCATATAGTTTGTACTGCAAAAAGGCATATTAAAGAAAAGATTGTATTTCTGTGGCTTGCGTTCTAGTAACATGTGTCAGCCTATACCTACCAGTAAGCATTTTAAAGTGGCTGAAAAGGTTTGCATCAGTCCCAATGCCGGTGCTAAATGCCTGTTTTTGTAAAAGCAAGATAACAGAATTACTTTTAGATTATGAGAAAGTAAAATGTAATGGGCAGCATTCTAAAATAAATCTCTTTTCTTCACTTTATTACGAAGTACTGAATGATAACAGCAATCAGAATGGAAAAGATAGCAAAAAGTGCAAGGATGACAGCAGCACACACTTGGTCGCTCTGTGACCATTGTGTCCTTGTGGTTTGCACAGTGTCCTTGTTGGTGCTTGACGGTGGTTCAGTCCTCTGAGAGATGAATAGCACTGGTGCACTGTAGGGGCCTATCAGGTCCTGATGACCTACTGTCTCTTGGCACTGTCGAATGGCACATGCGCGGAAACGGTATTCACAGTTCAGCTGGAGGCCTGTGTATCGGAATGACCAGTCCGGACCCTTATAAATCTGGCAATAAAGAAAAAAAACGATACATCAAGTAAAAACGTCCTACATACACATATATATCTCAGTATGGTTTTGTTTATGGTGAAGGTAACTGTAAAAAGGATGACTCCTCACCAGTGTTTTCACCCATGCAAAGAAAAATGGACAAAAAGCTCACAAATGCAATTTAAACGCCAGACAAAGCCTCCAGTCCTTTTGGTGAAACATTGGAAAAGAACTGCAAGTGCTTTTACGGCATGGCGAGTACACGCCAAATAAACTCGGTCAGAAGCCCCAGCGTTAAGGTGTTTTAGTGATCAGTTACAACGTAAATACTACACCATGGGATGTAATACACAATAACGTATCACAGGACTTTAGGTAATTAACTCTGTATCAAGCTACTTCATTAAGTCTAACCCAATCCAACATACTTTGTTGTAGTTAAGATATCGTGTGTTTAAAATATTATAATTTATCCCAATAAACATTGTATCATCAGGAAAACCGCAAGGAGTCCTCTCTGTGATTCTTAATTTCATCAGATCCCAAGACACAGATGACTTATTAGGATGTTCTCCGAGGGTGTCTCAGCTGGCTGGTTAACGTGAGTTCACAACTCTTCAGCATGGAGTGCCTAATCCAGTGAAATCTAAAGGCTGGTTTCTCAAATTAATTAATTTGCAGCTATGTAAAGGTGCTGCAAAAGCCAAGGAAATCCCATGCGGGTGCAATTTTCTGTTTATAGGTATATCAATAGGTACTGAGCCATTACGTGGGTAGCACAGTACAATTTGATTTCTCAAAAATTTTGGGGTATTTATATGGTTGCTTCCTAACCCCTTTAAGAGCTTGACTGATGTATATACCTCAAACAGCAGATCACTAACTTATTTTGTCTGAAGCACGTAGGGAACAACGACATGAGCAACTTGGCTGATGGATCAGGGAGCAGGAGGAGAGGAGAGTGAAGTTTTGGCAAGGAAATGGTAGTAAACAGCTTGGAGTGGACTTCCAGGCAGTTTATTTTTTCTCCATGTCAAAGAAAATTGTCACCATCATGTCTAAGTATCTTAAAGGCCGTTTCCACGGTGTTTACTTCTTGACTGTTCCAATTTTAATTTTTGCAAACTAGTCTTCTCATTTTATTTTAATTTACTGCACTAAACTGTTCTGGAGAGGCAAAAGGAATCATGCACCTCAGTCTACTTTGTTATTTCCAGGCTTAAAGCATAACCTTTATTTTCTTGTCCAGCTCATTTGGCAATGCACGTTGCTAATCAAAGCATGATTTGACTCTGTGTCTAGAAGCAACGCTGACCATGCCTTACTTACACACTTAAAGTTGCATTTACAATTTTCAAGTTACAACAAAGAATATTCACATGGCAAGATAACAAACACCTTGGAATATGGTTCATCTCTTACTGAAAAACTTAACAAATGGACATAACAAACACAGCACTACACTAAAAGTTTTGAATTATGAAAATATTAAGGCCTATAATCTACCAAAGCACGTGCAAAACTTATTTAATATTGACCTATAATAAAATTATAATATACCAGAATTAATTGTGATTCCTTTCTGGAAGGAAACCTGCTTGCTTAATAGCGTGAAACAGAGTTTCCAAGCCTAATTTCATGTCAATTATCAGGCAGCTTATAGGGAAGCAAAATTAGCACTGCACATCCTCTTTTAGATGCAGACTAATTTGTAGCTTAGTGTTTCGAACTGCATCTTTCAATAATCAAACCTGAAATTAAAACACACTCCCAACTGCTCAACCCTTGTAGTTACAAGCATGCCCCACTACTGAAATGGTCCTATGGTAAAAACCTAATCACTGAATTATATTTAAAAAGTTTCCCTACACCTGAACATCTACATTGCGTAAGTAGGGGGTCTTTCCTATCTGCAGTTCTCTGTACAGAAGTATGACTTTGACAACATCAAAGCTTTTATAATACTGTTTACTGCCTTCAAACAGCTCTTACTGCAAAGAGAATCCGTTGTTCTTTTTCTCTTAAGTCTCAATTCGGTACCATTGGGTCGATGTTTTCTTTTTGTCAGTTCTTCCCATTAGTGGACAATTTCCTCACCACTTGAGGTGTCAAGTTGTATTTAGTAAACATCAGTGTAACCCAGAGAGGCTGCAACTTACTGCAGAATTTATATTACTTAAATCTCTTTTCTCTATGACAATGTTTGTAGGAGACACTGCCTTATATTATCTAGTAACAAAAAGTTAGCATGGTGACTAAAAACATACTGAACACAATATTTTTTAATCTAAATCTTGCTGGTCTTGTTCAGTATCTTTATCAATGATCTGGATGAGGGGATCGAGTGCTCCCTCAGTAAGTTTGCAGA